CGTGGAGAAAATGATCTTTGAACCTTACGCAGGTCATTTTCAAATTTTGTTAAGTGGGTTTTAGCCTTAACTGCATGTAAAATCTATGTTCTGTCATGCTACTTTAACTGTTTTGTCAAATAAACTGTGTAACTCTAAATATCACGATTTTTGTAAAATAATATACAACTTCTTTGCTGCTGGTAACTTCATGTTCTCCATCTTAGTTGCTGGTATCTTAGGATATATGTAAGAACTGGAACTATGCTTTTACTCTTATCAAATGGACGCAAGCTTGGGCACCCACGCACATCGTGCGTTCCCAGCTTGTGTGTGTGTGTGTGTATAGCACTCAAATGTCGGGTACCACAAATATAATGTTTATATGTATTTCCTTTGTCCATAAAAATCATTCATGCATTGATTTTTAAGGGATTTAATGAAAATGTATTTTGGTATTGAGTTTTTCAAAAATGCTTTTGGATATGATGTGTAAAAATATGATGTAATAGGTAGACTAATAGTGGATATATGATGTGATAAATAGCATAAGAATGAGTATGGTAAAAGTAACTTTTTAACATAAAATTGAAAAGCTTTTTTGGGATGAATGAAAATAAAAGAATTTCTTTTTGAGACAAATGGAGCATATATGAAACCCCTTTTTATTAATGACCATTTATGGAATTTACTTTTAGAGACTATATATGAAATTTTTTTATTATAAAAGATCATTTACATGGAATTATTTTTTAGAGGAATGAAAAAATTTCTATTCTAAAGGACCATTTATGTGGACTTATTCTTTAGAGAAATATATCTCTACCGAATATGGAATACTCCATGTTTTCCTTTTTTATTTTTTATCTCTACTGCAAATTAGATTACAATTTATATTTTATAATTTGCGAGGCAAAGCCCTTATTTTTAAAACCAGTTTATTTAAAGTAAGTATAAGAATTACTAATTTAATTCATACGTTAAAAAATTGCGACAAAAATTTTACAAAGCAAGAGGTTACAACAATACAAAGTATTTTATTTTATTAAATTATAAAAACAATATACAAATAAACAAAAATATCAATATAAAAAAAATGTAAAAGGAATTTTGAGAGGAATGGACTTTTTATTTACAATAATAATAGCAAAATTCAGGTTTTCTCTTGCTCGCATAGGTTCTTTGTTGTTGAGTGCAGCATAACACCAGAGACCAGAGTAGATAAAGTCGCCCGTCATCCCTAAGAGAGCATTTCTGTCTTCACCACCACAACCGCCGCCGCCATGAATGCATCCACAGCTCTCAGGCTCGACTCATCCGCAGTCCACCCGGCGGCGATTCCTTCTCCGCGTCGGTATGTGGCTCGCAGCTGTAGGGTTCAGCTCAGGAAGATGGCCGTTCCTGCTTTTCCATCCGTCATGTGCTCTGCCAAGCAAGCATCGGCTGTGGTGGCGGAGCCCGGTGGCGCAACCGAGCCTGGAACGAATCGGATTGAGTCGCTAAGTCAGGTCTCGGGCGTTCTGGGTTGCCAGTGGGGCGATGAAGGTAAAGGCAAACTCGTCGACGTTTTAGCCAAGCATTTTGACGTCGTTGCTCGTTGTCAGGTATATATATGTGTGTTTCATCTATATGTGATTGCTCTATTTGGTGTACTCGTAGTTTATAGCTAGTGCCTTGCTTATTTTGCTCTTATGTACTCTTTGAAATTGATGGTTCTGAGGAAAATATATGAACTCCAGTTGCTTATATATAATGCCCTAGCGTATTGGGGGTTTAAACAGGGAATTTGATTTGATTAAGTTATAAATGAGTGTTTATGGTTCATTGATTCTGAATTCTCTCGGAAAACAGGGTTCTTTGATTTGCAATTTATTACATGTCATATCCTCTTACTACTAGTGTTCTCTTGCTTTTAGGGAGGTGCTAATGCTGGCCACACCATTTACAATTCAGAAGGAAAGAAGTTTGCACTTCACCTTGTTCCTTCGGGGATTCTTAACAAGGAAACGATTTGTGTTATTGGTAATGGAGTAGTGGTGCATCTTCCTGGACTTTTTAAGGAGATTGATGGCCTTGAATCTAATGGCGTCTCATGTGAAGGAAGGATCTTGGTGTCTGATCGAGCTCATCTTTTATTTGATTTTCATCAAGAAGTTGATAAGCTTCGTGAGGCTGAACTAGCTAAATCTTTTATTGGCACCACGTGGAGAGGTATCGGCCCTTGTTATTCAAGCAAGGCAATAAGGAATGGCATAAGAGTATGTGACTTGAGGCACATGGACACTTTCCCCCAAAAACTTGATCTTTTGCTATCAGATGCAGCATCGAGATTTCCTGGGTTTACCCATAGTCCTGAAATGCTCAAGAAGGAAGTTGAGCAATATAAAAAAATTTCTGAGAGGTTGGAACCCTTCATAACTGACACTGTTGATTTCATGGGTAAAACTATTTCTCAGAATAAGAAGATTTTGGTGGAAGGTGGTCAGGCTACCATGTTGGACATTGATTTTGGAACATATCCCTTTGTGACTTCTTCAAGTCCGTCTGCGGGTGGAATCTGCACTGGTTTAGGCATTCCTCCTACACTTGTTGGTGACCTTATAGGAGTGGTGAGTCAACTTTTCTGATTAACCTAATTCTATAATACTATATTTGTCTTTGAATAGCTGCTCTGATGTTCCTTTTGATTTTTTACATGGATTTTAGAACAACTTTTTAGGGATACTTTAACTGAGGGAAGTGGTGAAGGTAAAGTGATTTTTGCACAGTTTTTAGGGTGTTAAGTCATTAATTATGGAAAATGAAGACGCAGAAGGTGATTTGCAAAAAGTTAGTATGGGCAAACGTGTCCATTCCCTCACCCAAATTCACTAAAACAAGGAAAGTATAAAAAAGTTTGATTGCAACTTTAAAAAGAAAGTTGGACATCTAATAGAAGACACACGGAGGATATTTAAATGTACCAAGATCATCATGTCCAAACATACTGGAAACTCTTAGCAATTTATTTTATTGATACATCAAGCATAGTGTTATACTGTTGTTTCATATTATCATGCTGTGTAAACCTTCACACGACTTTAAAACTTTAGTACTTGTTCATAATAAACATTTAGAACTTGTGAAACATTTGGAAAGAAACTGCAATTAGGAATCAATTTGCATGGAACTTCTTCATGATGGCTCTTGTTGTCTTGTTCTTTGGTTATTAATTAAGGGGTTGTGAATTTTGATGAGATGACATCTTCAGGCTAAAGCGTACACCACAAGAGTTGGTTCCGGTCCTTTTCCAACAGAAACCTTTGGCAATGATGGTGACATGCTTCGATTTGTTGGCGGGGAATTTGGAACAACAACCGGCCGACCTCGTCGTTGTGGCTGGCTTGACATAGTTGCTTTGAAATATTGTTGCCAGATCAATGGCTTTTCCTCTCTGAACCTCACCAAACTTGATGTGTTGTCCGAGTTATCTGAAATTCAGATTGGTGTTTCTTACCGACTCCTTGATGGTACCCCAATCACATCATTCCCTTCAGATCTTAGGGTCCTTGACCAAGTTGTGGTAAGTATCTTCTCTTTGTTTGTTTCTGTTATTTTACTATCCCATTTTTTGTGCGCTCATTGTTTCTAATTTTCCATGAATGCGTTATTCCAATGAGAGAGGATTTTCATCACTACATAAATAAATGGCCACGATGAGACGGTTACAGTGTTATTAGTTAAAATGACATGGAGTATAAAACTGTGAACTTTGGTGTAATCTCTATATTATGTCCTTTTTCGTCCTCTAGCTTTTCAAGCTAAGTTGCACCAAAACAGGAAATTGGATATGGGGAAACACAAATTTTCAAAAAATCCAATGTGTAGAAAACCTGCAAATAAAAAAAATGCAGATTTTAGCAAATGATATTACGTATGTATGAAAATATGCACAGAAGCACAAACGTCATACTCCGTAATATTCACGTATGTAAACCGCTGTTTGCCAGTCCCAATTAAATGTGTTTGGAAGAGTGGTGGACGAACCACTGTTTGGGTAAATGTGGTTTTGATGAGCCTGATTTATATTTGGGTTTTAATTTGCCAACCAGGTTTGATTGGTTTCCTACATATGTTTGTTTGTCACAATCTTTTGTCTATACGTATGAAAATTTATGTAAATAATTGTACAAAAATAAAAGCAACAGAAAAAGGAAACCAGAAGAGCAAGCAAAAGAATGTTGATATATCTTTTTCTTTGATGCTCCAAAAGCTAGAAATTTTTTAATTCGGGTAACATCGCTCTGACAAACTAAGTCGGCTTTATTATTTTTTCTTATATCTGGCTCAATTTGCTGTATACTGTGTAGTTAGCAGTGTATCTTTGGTGCAACTTGTAGGTGGACTACGAAGTTTTGCGAGGCTGGAAGTGTGACATATCATCTGTCAGGAACTATTCTGATCTTCCCACGGCTGCACAACGATACATTGAGAGGATAGAGGAGCTTGTCGGCATACCCATCCATTACATTGGTGTTGGACCCAGACGAGATGCCCTTATCTACAAGTAATGAATTATTAAACTTCCATCTTTTTATCACTGGGAAGTTAATTCTGTTTCCGTGGAGAGGACAGGACATGGCTTCCTTTGACACAGCTCTTTGTAAGTTGATGAGGTGCCAAACTTCTAGCGACACGACAATGTCTTTATGCATCTTTAGAGACTGGTCATCAGTTTTAGGATCTTAGCATCTTCTATTTTGTTGTTATTGTTGTGATTTTATAAGATATTAGCGGGTGTTGCCGTTTGAAAACCTCTGCTTTCCTTAAATAAGAAGATAACAACTGAACTGATTTAGCAATTACTCTCTCTGCCTTACTATGTTTGTCATTTTTATATTTTTGGTTCGTTCTAAAATGTTTGTTCCATGCAGTATTTTAGTCATATATGTGTCCCAGCTCTCAAAATTAGTGGGACAAAGGGAGCAAGTGCTCTAAATTTTGAAAGCATTACAAACAAACTGTACATGTAATGGGAGTTTGCCAATAGGGTTTTTTTAATGGGACCCAAAAATATGGCTTCTACTACATTAGCAAGTAATAAAGTTTTTTCATGATGCAAAAACAAAACAAAAAAACATCATAGTCTTAGGTAGGTGAACAAAGATGGAACAAGGTCTACAACAGCCCAAGCAAGGCCAGTATACTGAACAAGCCGTATGCAGGTATCAACATCAAATGTTGTCTCCTGCTGTAAAAAAATGGATACCTTCTGCTCACAATAAGAATACATACTTCCTCCTGCTGCTCGAGGCTTCATCATTTTGTCTGACTTAATGGCAATGGTCATGCCGTTCAGTCCAGGGACATAGCTGGTTGATCTCACAGGGAGGCTCAAAGCATTGGCAAGCATAGGTAACATCCATTTCGCAACAGCCTTGCTGCACACCTTCACGAGGAGTATTGTCGGTATCCCTACCAGCATTCTGCCCACAAATGCAAGGATTGTTAGCTCAGGTGTAAAGATCCGTGGAACGTCTTCGTGGTGAAACTGATGGTATGTTTGCTGGATTCCCATTACCTGGCCAAAAAATAAACAATTAAACACAATTATTGTCAGCAAGTTCAGGTATTTGGAAAGGAGAAGGGTGCTTCATCGGAAGAAAGTAGTGAGATATGATTGTGCTTACAATTCCCAATGCAACGCCATTGAAAGCTGTATGATATTCAAAACTTGGCGTAGGCATCTCAGGCGTTGGATAAGCAAAGAGGAACAAGAAACTCAGTGCTGCCCAAAAGGATGTAACTGCAGACAAATAAACCCCACTTGAGAAGAATACAAATTAAAAGATTGTTTTTTGGGGGGTTTGGAGAGTAAAGAACAGTAGAAAATTACACTAGAGTATGCCTCTTCTCTCACAGAGACAGACATATTTCTGTCCTACAATCACTCTCATTCATCCCCTTGAGTTGGAACTTCAAATCCATTTACGGGTAGGCACTTAAACTTACTAGGGAGCGGGAAGTAAACATACCGTTTTGTCCTGAAACAATGAAATGATCTATGTGATTGTGAACAGAAAGCCAAAAGGCCAGGATCGCAAGGCCGAAAACCAGACCTCCAATGATGTCAATCAAGCTGTGCATCCCAAGGTAAATCCTACCTAAACAAGAAAAGCAAGTCTGAGATGGCCACACCGAAAGCAATAGCAAATAACCGCATCAAAGGAATTAGACTCACCGAAGCCAATTAGGCCAACAAGCAAGCAAACAAGGGCAACTCCCGCTATTTCAAACGGCAAATCTTTGTTTTGGGTGTGGGACAACACATAGTGCAAAAGGTATCTGAGTTTCCAAAGAAAGAACAATAGCACATCAAAAGACATACATTTATGGCAAAGCCAAACATGGCATAAATCGTAACGCTCTTTGCTCTTTTGTTTTCCTCTTCTCCCCTTGTTTGAACCCAAAAAAAGGGTTAGTCTCAAGAATTCGGCAACTCCATACCCGGACAAGCAAACAGTATTGAGAGTGTGCGAAGAAGGCAGTCCGTATTCCAATGCATTTTCTTTCTCGTCTTCAGTGGCTGTTATTCTCCTAACAGGGGGACAGCTTGGTCTAGGGGCTGACACAACATCCTGCAGCAAACATGTTGGCATTCAATCATACACCAGAAGCATAATAAATAGTAAATGAACCAATGCCTCCGTCTTCGCCGGGTGAACTTCCCCATGAACCTTGGGAAGTGAGCTTCCTACCTACCACTCAAACCAAGTGAGAAGTTCATGTTTTATCGACTAAATTGAAGTGGCATGTTATACTTCATTTGGTTCTTACCTTCTATGGAGTATAAAACTTTGGGTAGTAAATGCACCAATGCATAAAGGTTATAATGAAAACACTTCCCTATTTCTTGGGGTAAGTTTGCATAAATCTTGGGAAATCATAAAAAAAAACAAGTCAATCTTACTTCAACTGAATCAAAACAGATACCACATTCTAATCGAATACATAGCACTCAAAACGATGAGAAAGAACAGACCTTTATACAATTCCCCATATAATCACAAAAAGCCATCAGAAGGGTCATTTGCCGAGCCAATTTAGAATGCCCAGTCTGCAGAACAAAACCACAAGTCCACCACCATTCATTTACCTGTGTTGTTCTATCTTCCTCCCCCGTATGCTACTAAGAACTAAAAAGAAAATGCATAAGAAAGGGGAGAGGTAAAGAACATTACCCAGAAGAGGAAAGGAAGAAATGCAGTGTAGAAAGGCACAGAAACTATGCAAGAGAGCCCAGAAAAGAAGGCATCCAGATACCAGCTCTGATATTTCTACAGCACCCAAAAAAAACAAGTCAATGTTACTTTCAACTGAATCAAAACGAGATTCCTTTTCAATTTGACTGTCAGGGATCAACTCAGCCAAACATTCAAACTTTTGGTTGAACATTCATCGATGCTAAACAAGGTGAATCGGGAGGAAGAAGGAAGGGGAGCAGAGGATCGAAACCTGGATCTTCAAAGAAACTGGGACGCCATTAATGACTTGGCGAGAAACCCAAGGCTGAATGAGAGATCTAATCGTTTGGGTCACATTAAGAATGGAAGAAATCACAACCCAGGAACCTAATCCGCCCAGAAACAGCCCTTGCCATCCCCCCGCGCTTTCCATTTTTTCCAACTTTCTCTCTTTCTTTCTTCTTCTTCTTCGTCGTCGTCTTCTTTCTTTCTTTCTTCTTCTTCTATTAAAAAAAATAAATGCGGAGTAAAAATCGAGTCCAGGCAGGATCCATTATTTTGTGTGGGCCCGTAGTTTGGAAGAATTCGCTGGCTATGAAAAGTCCAGTCAGTCTATAGAAGAAATTGACCTCTTGAGAGGTTGACCATTTGCCAAAGGGGCAACCACACGGAAGAATACAATTCTTTAATTGCATATTTCCTCCATCTAAAAAAATTATTGTACTAATTTAATTTTATGGTTAATTTAACCAAAAGTTAAGGGGTGGATTAGGGGGTAGGATCGGAACCATCAATTTTACGAACAGAGCACTAGAAGTGCTTCAAAATTACAGTGACACCGCTACTGTCACCAAAAGTCGGTGTCATTATAACCCCACCGTTTATATATATAGTTCTCAATTTTAATAAATTTTATCCGTAGTTCTTTATATTTGAGAATTATTTCATAATCATTCTTTTAAAGACTATATGTAAAAAATAAAACTTCGTACTTGGCTTTGCTGATGATCTAATCATTGTCTGTGGAGCTGACAAGAATTCTGTCCAATGTATAATGGATGCTCTAAATCACTTCCAAGAAGTAACTGACCTCTCAATTAACCATGACAAGTCCCAAATTATCCTTGGAGGGGTTGATAAACAGGGAGAAGAGGAACTCACCAAGCTGACTGGAATGAGTAAAGGGCAATTCCCACTAAGGTACCTGGGAGGGCCAATCACCCCTGGCAGAATTGGAGAAAAGGAATGTGGAAAGCTGATTGACGCCTTAAACTGTAGGATCACATCTTGGGCAACCAAACACCTATCCTACGTAGGTAAGGTGAAACTCATTAACTCGGTACTGTATGGGATAGTTGCTTTCTGGTGCAGAATCTTTATTCTACCAACTAAGGTGATGAAGAAAATACAAATTATCTGTTGCAAATTCCTGTGGGGCTCTAACCAAGGTAAGAGGAGGAATGCTCAGATAGCATGGGAAGACATATCTACACCAAAAACAAATGGAGGACTTGGCATCAAGAATCTAGTACTCCGGAATAGAGCAGTGGGGATGAAACTAATATGGGAGATTGAAAATAAAGAGGACATTTTATGGGTCAAATGGATCCATGTCAGGTATATGAAGGGGAAAAACATATGGGAATATGGAGAAAGAAAGGACATTTGCTACTACTAGAAACAACTGAACAAATGCAAGGAACTGTTTAGGGATTTTCCAAGGGACATGACATATACTCCCACGGAGGGTTATAAACATCTAATGGAAAGGAATAACACCTCAACTTAGAGTAGTCTTGTTTGGAATAAGGAGTCCCAACCTAAACATAAATTCTTTTAATGGCTAATGTTTAGGAGAAGACTAGCCACAAAGGACATACTGGTGAAGTACATGAGCATTGATCCTGGGTGTATGTTGTGTGGTCAGAACAACGAAACAATTCAGCACCTCTTTTTTGATTGCTCTTACAGTAAGGACCTATCCAAGGAGATCACTGAGTGGTGTCATAAAAGAACAACTTACAGATCTGTTGACCACATGGTGACTGAACTACTGAAAAGAAGACCAAGAAGAGAAAGAAACAAAGAAGGAGCCCTAGATGCAGTAGTGCACAATGCAATTTGGAGGGCCAGGAATCACAAGCTCCATAAAGGTGAAATAATCCCAGATAGAAATAGTGCTGATATCATTAAATATTGACTTAGATATCACAATGGTTGGATGTATTAATGTATACTGTTAGTTGCCCTGTTATGACATTGTACTTTGCTGTTCTTATATTAAAGTAATTCAGTTCAAAAAAAAAGGATCACGAATGTAATTTTTAAGAATTGACAACTATGAGTGTGATTGGTTAAGGGGAAAATATAATCTTAGAATCATATTTTCCAAAGAAAAATAATTTCAAGAAAAATTATTTCCTAACCATATTTTTCATTGTTTGGTTGAAAAATGTTTTCTTTAAAAATTACTCCCTTTATCCCAAAAAACTTTTCATGCTTACTATTTCAGACTTCTGATAGTTTTAGTTTGTGTATGCTTTTTAATGGTCATTTGATAACATAAAATAGTTTTATCACCACCTATTTTGTAGAACTTTTGATGTAATTTTAAAAATATAAGTTGTTCTTGTTATGTATATACCATTTTGTAAATAAAATTATTTTAAAATAGATGGTATATTGCATGTTGTTCGAAATATATTTTTTTGGACAGAGATAATAGTTTCTATTGTTAATATTTGAAAATTAATATTAAAAAAATGATTTGAGATAATTAATACTCTGTAATATTTTAGTAACATAGAGGCAACACATGATGGATGGGAGGTAAGGGCTTAGGCGGGTGGACAAAGTTCATAGATGAGTGATGAGTGACGAAGGACGATGATGAAGATTGGGGACTGGTAGGGGGTGGTGGAGAAGGTGGATGGTTTGAAGCGATGGAAGGAGGAAGGTGAAGAGTGAGGGTGTCGAGGTGGGATGGACGAGAGTTATATTGTCTATGGAGGCGGGTAGGGGTGGAGGGGGTAGAGAGGGATGGGAGGGAAAGGGGTATGTGGGTGAACGGGGCTTGCATGTGGATAGAGCGAGAATGAGAACTTTTTTTCAAAAGTACATAGAAATTATTTTTTCTTGACTGAAAGAAAATCTTTTACTTAAAAGTAATTTCCTTCCACAAATATTACGAAAACACAGGAAAATAAAATTAGATTTTGGGATTTACTTTGATGTCTTCCTATATCAAAGGGGTATGGATGCCCTTTCATTCAAAAATTGCCATGTGGACAAATGATAATAACACTTAAATAAATTTCATTAAGAATAAAAATTACGCACCACTTGGAAATATTGTAAAATGATCCTCATACTCCATGTAGATGAGGATAGGTAATCTTAGACCATTTTATTGGTGTAAGATTGTTACACTAATTCAATTGGAATACCTAAAATGTTCTGATAATAAAATTGATTGTGTTTACCCCTCCTTACCCCCTAGCCCGCCACGGTGCCACGTCCTCAACGCACCCCGCACCAATCCAATTTCATTGCACAAAATTTTGTTGATTTTCGGGTCAAATTTTAGACACAAATTGGATGTAATAAAATTGGCGGGGTTGTTGGCGCACATTGGGGACGAGATGGGCTAAGGGGAGTTTACCACGGGGTTAGGGGGTTGGAATAATCAGTTTTAGGATCGAGACACCGTAGGTGCTCCAATTGAATCAGTGTAAGATTACCCCTCTCATTTTTAATTTATTAAAATATTTTATAATAATAATAATTGTTTTTTATTCTGTCGAAACTCAATCAAACTAAAAAAAAGATTGTCTGGTACATTCTGATTTTAATACTATCCTGTATTTATTTTAAACAATAAAAACAATTATAATGAAATTTTGATATTTTATTTGATTTTTACTCTATTTCAAAATTTACAGTTCGATCATGCTCTATAAAGTACCCCCACTTCAAATACACTCCTACTCCCAGTACTCCATCTTTTCCCTATATCTTCTCGCTAGGGTTTCTCACCAAGGATCTCTGTACCTCATTCTTTCTCTAATTTCATGCAGTGCTTTGGCTCTCATCTCACTGTTTCGTGTTTGATTTCCTACAAACCTCTCCTTGTCGTCGGATTTTCTTGAGTATTCTTCGAGTACTTCATCTTACGTGCATTTGTTTGTTAATTTTGCATAATTTGCTGATTGTGTTCTCATGTACTACTCTCTGGTAGAGATTGTGATGTTTCTCTCTAATTAAATGCCGTTCTCAGTTTCCCTGTAGATCAGATTCTTGAACTGGGAGACTCCGTCCCGCGTGTATTTAGGAAGAGATTTTTGAATTATGACTTTCTCATGGGCTGATTCAGTTGAGAATGCAGAATCTCACGGTGCTGGGACTAGCGGTGGAAGCGGCGTTCCTGCCAAACAGGCTTATATACCGCCCCACCTTAGGAACAGACCACCCCCGGCTAAAAATACACCTCCTGCACAGAGTGGTCTGTCATTGGCCAATGGCAGACCTGGTGTTGCAAGTGGTTCAAGGTGTTGTGATCCGAGGTCCGGTAGTGGAGGACAGAGTTATGGTCGTGGCGGGAGTGGCTGGGATAGCAGAGGTGGTGGTTGGGGTAGGGAGCGCGAGGTGAACCCTTTTGGTAATGATGATGTTGGTGGGGGTGAAGAGAATGGCATTTCACATGAAAATAGTGGCATTGATTTTGATACGTATGAGGATATTCCTGTGGAAACAAGTGGGGATAATGTGCCTCCTCCTGTGAATACATTTGCTGAAATAGACTTGGGAGATGCCCTTAACTTGAATATTAAGAGATGCAAATATGTCAAGCCTACTCCTGTACAGCGCTACACGATCCCCATATCTCTTGCAGGACGGGATTTGATGGCTTGTGCACAGACTGGATCTGGCAAGACGGCTGCATTTTGTTTTCCCATCATTAGTGGAATCATGAAGGGGAGTTTTCCACAGAGGCCACGCGGAGTGCGAACTGTTTTCCCACTCGCTCTAATTCTTTCACCTACGAGGGAGCTTTCAATGCAGGTGGGTAGGTTATTCGAAGGCCTCGTTTATACTCCATTCGTCCCAAAAAAACATTACTTGGTTTGTGTTTCACAGGATTTTAGAAAAATGTTGAAAAATGTATGGTTGGAATTTGTTTAGGTGAGAGAAATCATGTGAGCTACATGCTTATTTCTTTGAAAGTAAATAAAGTGAAAAGCATTTTTTTGGGAAGTCCGAAAAGGGAATGTGTGAATGATTTTTGGGTCGGACGGACTACAAGCTTTCTATTGTTGCTTAATTGCTTCCATGGTTCTTGTTTGGCAAATATTATGATTTCCACGATGGATTTGTTGATTTACATTTATGACACAGATACATGAGGAAGCTAGGAAGTTCTCCTATCAAACTGGTGTAAGAGTGGTTGTTGCTTATGGTGGGGTCCCAATAAACCAACAGGTCAATAATCAATATCAACTTCTTTTAATATGTCTGGCTATCAACATGAACATTTGAGCAACTTATACAAATTATTGACTCGATGTTTTAATATGACAGCTATGACGTGATTTGACCGATATTAATTTTTTCTGAGTTATTTGTCTTATATGTTGAAAATTTTCAGCTCAAAGAGCTAGAAAGAGGAGTTGATATTCTTGTGGCAACTCCTGGAAGATTAGTTGATTTGCTTGAGAGAGGAAAAGTCTCCCTGCAGATGATAAGATATTTGGCTCTTGATGAGGCTGATCGTATGTTGGATATGGGGTTTGAGCCCCAAATTAGAAGAATAGTGGAGGAAACGGATATGCCACCGCCCGGTGAAAGGCAGACGATGCTTTTTAGCGCCACATTTCCAAGGGAGATTCAGGTTTTATTTTTAAATGTTTCATGCTGTTTTAGTTTGCCTTTTCAAAGTCACTGGTAATAATCTATATATTAGTAGGTTTATTGCTTTAATTGACAGTTCTTTACTTTCCTGGTTCATGACACACACATACTTGATACAGCTATTTTGTTCCCCTGATTTATGTTTACAAATGGACTGATTAGTAGTGTACTATGCGGCATAGAAAAAAATGCATGTTCATGAAATTAGTGTGTCCTTGCATGTGCTACACTGCTACCCTTGGTTGTGGTGTTAATTTACAATTTACTACTCTGTACAAAAGTATAGATTTTCTTCATTTCCATTATGACATTTTGCTACCTTTGCCCCTAGACTAGACTTGAAGGAAGAACTGCTTCTTAGAGACTGTAAATCTGTTCTGAACATGATATGATGTGTCTGACAACATATACTTTTGTTTTGGTTGGCTTGAAGAGACTTGCATCCGATTTTCTCTCGAAGTATATATTTTTGACGGTTGGAAGGGTTGGTTCCAGCACTGATTTGATCGTTCAGAGAGTCGAACTTGTTCAAGATAATGATAAGAGGAGCCATTTGATGGATCTTCTTCATGCACAGCATGAAGATGGTGTTAATGGAAAGGTATTTGCAATGCGCTGATCCCACCATATTTCTTCTCTTTTGAAGGAGAACCGTAATTTCTGTTGTAATTCTGGTTATTTTCCTGAAAGTTATCATCTTTAAATTCCCCCTTGTAAAAAAAGCCATATTTCAGTAAGGTACAATACACCTTTTTAAGAATGGTCATGCTTTAACAATCAGAGTACATGCTTATAAATGCAATTTATATAAAAGGAAATCTCCTTTGTGTGTGGCGGTGTAACCGGTATTTATCATTGTAGTCAATCTGGTTTTAAGCCTGATTATCTAATTTGTCTTGGACTGTTGATTTGACTTGCAGCAACCTCTAACTTTGGTATTTGTGGAAACAAAAAGGGGAGCAGATGCATTGGAACATTGGCTGAGCATTAATGGATTTCCAGCAACTGCCATTCATGGTGATAGAACTCAGCAGGTAGGCAGGCAACCATTTGGCAACTTTCCCACGTTTTACTTTCCCAATCTCTCTAGTGCCTTGTTTGGTAACACTTTCACTAAGCATTTTGAATAGTTTTTTAATGGCTGCAAGTTAACTTTGAAAACGCAAAAGCTAAATGTTGTTATTAGATACTCTAGTACCATTTATTTTCTCATGCCTCACAATTGAACTTATGGGTGTCACAGGAGAGAGCCCAAGCATTAAGGGCATTTAAGAGAGGGGACGCCCCTATTTTGGTTGCGACCGACGTGGCATCCCGCGGTCTTGACATTCCCCACGTTGCTCATGTCATCAACTTTGACCTACCCAATGACATTGACGATTATGTGCACCGGATAGGAAGGACAGGCCGAGCTGGCAACACAGGATTAGCTACGGCTTTTTTCAACGAAGCAAACATGTCTTTGGCCAAACCCTTGGTTGATCTGATGCAAGAAGCTAAGCAAGAGGCCCCTGATTGGTTGATTCGCTTTGCTAGTAGTTCGCATTGGGGAGGTAGAAGCAAGCGGTACGGTGGTGGCCGGTTCGGCGGCAGTGACTTTAGAAGGGGTTCTTCGTCTGGAAACCGTGGCGGTGGAAGTAACTATGGTGGCGGTTATGGTGGTGGGGGATATGGTCCTGGGAAAAGTTCTTGGGACTAATTTTCCCTTGGGAATTTTAGGTTTTCTTTGCCTGTCAATGCAAAATGTTGGGCTTTTTCTAGTTTTGTTCATTGATTGTGATCCTCTTCTTTAGGGTATAAGTACGATTTTGTCATATGCTTAGCTGAAAAACAACTAATCTCCAGAATTGAATAGCAGGAAATGTGTTTTCTTCTTCCATACGACCTTTTTTTTGTTCGTCTCAATTTAAATTGCAAGATTACTCTATATGAATTTCAAACATACTCCGTATTTTATTAAAAATCATGTTCAAGCAAACTAGACAAGTTACTTCGGGATAGAGAAGTTTGGTGTTTCTTGGATCTTAAAATTTAAACAAAGCTAAAAAGCATCATTACTAACGATAATCAATTTCCTCTAACGACTCAAATACAATAGCCTCGTTTGGCAATAATCTAATGGTAGCATTTAGCGTTAATCTTCAAAAACTAATATGTACTATTAAAATTTTATACAAAAGGCTAACGCTAATAAAAAAATATTGTTTTCAAACAAGAACAATGTAATGAATGTACAACTTGAAAGGTTGTAAAAAAAAAATAAGGAACCTTTTTAAGTGTCAAATAATGGGTGTACAATCTTGGATATGTCTTGACATTACAGTTTCAATTACTTTTTATCAGGTAACTATTCGAGTCGAACTTAGAGATCTTAGAATTGGACGATGGAGTTCATCCTTTCAAATGATGAATGGTTAATGAACAACCTCCTAAGGCTATGTTCTCTTCCACTTGTTTTTATTATTTAGTATTCCCTCCGTCCCATGAAACATGAGACATTTGCTTTTAAGGAGGGATTTAAGAGAGTGTATTTTGGTATTGAATTTCCAAAAATGTTCTTTGATGTGATGGGTAAAAGTATGATTTGATGGATAGATTATTAGTAAAAAGGTATGATGTGATAGTTAGGGTATGAAAAAGTAAGGGGTAAAAGTGACTTTTTAATAGAAATGAGAAGTGTTTTGAGGGACGGATAAAAAAAGAAACGGGAAATGTTTCATGGGACGGAGAGAGTACATAGTATTATTTATTTTAGGGTGTTGCTAAATCCACCCCCCAAAATGGCTATATCCACACCTTTTACCAATACTTGCTATATCCACACCCATTAATATAAAATTTATATTGTTGTGGATTTAACAAATTTATATGAAAGGGGTGGATATAGCCATTTTTGGGGTTGATTTAGCATCACCCTTTATTTTATTAGAATTAGATTAGATGGCATCAATCTATTCTCTTCGATTAGATTTTAAAGTTAGACATTAGAAGAAATAGAAATAAGTTGAAAGAAACGGGAAGGAGATGTAAAAAAGTAGGGGTTAGAAAAATTAAAGTGTTATTTCCTTTTACCTCCACCTAAAATGTATAAAATATATCCCATTATGCAGTTTATTGTGGGTAGAAGTTGTTTCGGGAATATTTTAAACATTTTAGGTAGAGTAAAAGTATTTTACGGGGTCCATAAATATTTAGGGCGGAAGTATTTTCAAGAACGGAGGGAGTAATTAGTTTTTTTAGGTGAACAATTTGATAAAGTCATTTGTGACTCGTGAGTATGTTAATGGTTCATTACTTCGTCGCTTTTTTTGAACCGTCAGGATAATAAATGTAGTTGTACTATCCAATTTTTATTATTCAAATAATGACTACATTTTTTGAATAAATTGTTTTACATATAAATATATAATATTATAAAATGAAAAAAAAGTAAGACTGGAAAAATTGGTCTCCTAGAATCAGCGCCAATACCGGAGAAGCAAGGTGCCAGTTACGGGTAAGGGCAATGGTGGCACCGAAACCGGATGGTTCCGAAACCGGATTCGGACTAGAATCGTCTCATATCCACCCCTAGCTTGAGTTGATATGTTATAAACTTAGATATTTGATGTTATTGTATAGTCATCAGATATAAGTATACTTTCTAAGTCGTTTGATGAAATTGGAAGGTATTGAAAGAAACTAGACGAAGTTAGAAGTTAACTTTTCTAACTCAAAAGAACATATTTTTAATTAAGATCAGATCATACTTTATTAAAATTAGATAAGATCCATTCACTAGTACTCCCTAACTTCTAAGGGCCCCAGTGCAAGGAATCTTGACTCTCTTAAACTCCCCATTATTTAAGACTCTTCTTCACACTTTTCAAAAGACTACCCCTACCCTTAGACTCTCTCGGACTTTGCAAAATCCATATTCCAATATCTTTAATTTCAATAATTGTATTTATATTAAATTAGTTATATAACATATAATTGTATTACATATTGATTTTTCTAATCAAATTTATTTATGAATATGATTAACCATTAAAAACTTTCAACAACACAAAATTTTAAAAACTACTCCGTATTTGTTAGAGAGATTTATATAAAGTTAACACAAAAATTACATGAAGTAAATACATTTCTTTAAAATTACATAATTAAACACACATAACCTATAAATTGTATAGAATAAAAATAAAAGCACAAAAAATATTATTGTTTTGTTTATGTTTTTGGTTTTTTTTACTTCGTATCTTTATTGGTTTTTCTAAATATTTTTCTTTTTTTATGTCATTTTTCATTTTTATTACAAAAAATTGTAACTAATTTTTATCTTTAGAAAATAAATGTCATTATCTACACATGTCCAGTTTTCATTGAATAAGTTAAGTTGGGAGTCTTGAAAGTGAGTTTGAGTTTTAAAAGACTTTCTTTCAGACTTTTCACAATTTTTGTTTGTACAATGGTAAAATTTGAAGAGGAGAGTATTAAGACTCTATCAAGACCTCCATTAGGGATGCCCCAATCGTAAGTCTCAAATAATTGTCTGTATTTGTATCTAATTACGTAGTATAAACTTGTTTTCATTTGAAGCGGAGATTGTTCATATTTGATCATAAACAAATATAAATATTTTTTGTGGCTATTATTATTTGTCTCTTCAAAATCATTTTTAAATATACAATTTTATTTTTCTTAATCTTGTGTCTGATCAATTGTAGAATATTATTAGGGGATAAGTATTTTTCATTTGTCAATATCAGAGAGTACAAATTGATGGAAGCATGAGCTCACACTCCGACATCCTGACAAGTAAGAGCATTAACAATGATCCCAAAACCCGCTATCTCCCAACTTCTGCCATATCAGCATTCTACTAAGTTTCTGTCCGCCCCAAAATCTTGCAACAACACTGTCCCGAAAACCCACATCTATGTTTCTTTTACAATATTCATGATTTTAATTCAAAACATACTCCCTCCGTCTCTCATAGATCTTCTCATTAGCCTCTTTTTATTTGTCTTACATAAATCTTCTCATTACCTTTTTTTTAACCATTAATACCACACTCCAGATAACATACAAAATTCTATCATTTTCAAAATTATTTTTATTATAATTTGATATAGAAATGAAAGATGCAAAGTACACCGTTCAAAAATACATCAAAAGTTATGCAAAGCAAGAAGTGACAAAAATATTTTATTTTATCAAATGATCAATGAAACACACAAGAAAACAAAAGTTATCGAGAAACTGCAATAATGACAATGGCGTACATTTTGGGACAGATGGAGTATAACATTATCACTCATACAAGTACACTCCAAAACAAAACAAATCCAAATCACGCCCCAAAAGAAGAAATATTACTTGGAAAATCAAGCCAAATGTTCCATAAGAAAAACTGAATTGAATATTAAAAAAAAACTTATAAACTTTACTACGACATTCTCTCAATCTTTCTTTCTGTTCAAATAGATTCTTGAAAAAAGAAAACAACGAAAAATGATCCAATCAACTAAATCACGAAAAAAAAGGCCAAAATGTTCAGAGGAGCATTATTGTGTGGCATGATACAAATGCTCCAGCTTTCCATCACTCAATGTATAATAGAAACTGCGATTTTTTTTGTTTCGTTCGTTTTTCAAATGAGAGCAGCTACCTCATTGAGGTTGGTTAACTATATCAGAGAACGAAAACTCAATGCCATTGGCAAACGGGTTGTATTCCTCTACAGGATCCTTCTCATCGCTGCCATGATGAAGATCACAACAACCGTTCCCCAAATCTCTTGACAAATTCGAAGTGAAATTCCCAACGGTCCCTTCTTTAACAGAGATAGGATCAGAGAAGGCAAAAAGAGAGAAGCCCGAATCTCCCAAATCTGTTTTCTTGTTACACTTCCCGTTTTGCCAAGTTGTTTCTTCGTGATGGTCATCTTTCACCACCCCACCTTGATACCAAGCCTTCGTATTGCTATTATTGTTATTATTCTCTTTTAGATCAACACCGTTGGCTTGAGATGCGGGCTGGAGCACGGTTAAATGGTGACCAGCAGGAGGGAGACTGGTAAACAACGGCTGAGGCATAGGCTGAAAGGCACTGTACTGTATAAACGGTGAGCCAACGTTCGTACCATATGGAAAAGGGCTTGTGAATACATAGTGGCTGGTGGGATGATGATATGACATCGCCGGTGGGACTGCCCAGGAAACTGGACTCTGATAGTAGTAACCCATTGTTGAAGCTTGGAACATTGGAAAGTGAACGTTCTGGCTATTATGATGAATAGGAGGTACGGGTTGTGGTTGGATTCCCAGGGCAACACTTGATCTTTCACCACCATGTGAAACTACAGAAGCAGATGCCGATGCTATACTACTTGATGGTGGTTTTTTAATGCTAACTGGACTTTCACTTTCAGTAGTTTGCTTTTTACTGGGTGTATCTTCATGACGTTCACCGAATCCGTTTTGAAGACACGCCGGTCTTTCTTCTGAATTTTGACTGGAATCTTCGGAGTCTGACATGGATGAAGATTCTGGGTTAAGAAGATTTGCAGATGACGCATTGCTGTCTCCCTCACTGAGACAGGACGAGCAATTATCAGAACTAGAAGGGCTGTTTGTTGATGATTCACCTTCCATGTTTGATACTTCCTTCAGACACAGTGGGGACTTAACCTCGTCACTTTGGGAACTGTTTTCCGAATCAATACTAGAGGTTCTGGAATCTTTTTCACTCGTCTCTTCGTGACTGTTTTGAGCAGAAACCTCAGACATTTCATCAGAGCTGTTGGAAGGAGAAGACTTGAGGTGCTTATTCATTTCAACAGTTTCTGGACAAAATGTAGATGATCTTAATGTGGCTATTGGCTCCCATACTTTCTTGGTGGCAGGTAAATCCCTGTTAGAACGGTAACCACTCCCAGAACTGATTTTGTTTTTAGGGATGGCATAATTTTGCATAACATACTGTTTGGAAGTATCCGTTAAAGAACTTGACTTACTAGTTGGTTTAGCTTCCCAGATCCCTCTGGCCATGGAAGGTTGGTCTACCTTCACTCGGTAATCAGGGTGTTGGTTACAGCTGCACGAATGGAAGTCATATCTGTCATTCAGTCGATGATTAGGGCAATGACTGAACTTGGGCCCACCATTTCTTACATTACTTCTCAATTGCTTGTTTGATCTATCACAATGGCGCCTTACTTCATGTTGCCTAACCATGTCCCTATTCTCTGAAACAAATGGCCTCCTATCTGAGTATTTCAACCCCGAGTCAACATGAACGTCTTTCCAAAACATCTTTTTTTGGCGAGAGTATCTGAAATCATCATGCTGATAAGACTCACTTTCATCTTTCAAACTGACAAAATCGCCGTTAGTACAATCATCAGTGCAAAGTGAAGTAATCGAAGGGCTGTGTCCATTTATAGGTACGTCGCCTTGATTGTTTTGAGACAAAGTCGGTGCAATGGCTTCCTCTGTCTCACTCCCAGAGTGCCTGCTGTCAATAACACTGGACTCTTCTTCATCCATGCAAGATGACACTTCATCCTTTACAATCTCACAATGGTCCTGGTTCAAGCCAGAACTTTTTGTCTCTCTATCCTTTCCCTTCTCTCTTAATCTCTCCTTTCTACGAAGTTTTTTCTCCTTTTCTTTTAATCGTCTTCGCTCTTTCCGTTCCTCTTCTTCACGTTTTTCCTTCTCTTCTTCTTCAAGAAGCTTCATCTGTAGAAATGGAGCAAAGACCAGCTTATAGATGTCACCTTACTAAAGATTTGATAAAACACCAAAACATATAAGGGAGGACATGACATAATAGCCTTGCTTACAACTACTACATCTACACTATACCTGTTTCTCTAAAGTAATTATATCCTTGCATGCCACATGCACCTTTTCTTCCAGTAACTTCAATGCAAGACATACAAATATACTATGAGCATTTTGGCGTGCTGTTCCCTCTCTGAAGGCCTTTTCAACCTGTAAAAGAATGTGTTAGATAGTGTTGACAAATGTACACAGATCTAAGTGTCTTTACCAAAAAAGATCTCATGAGGGCCATTGGGTGGTTTTTGCAGATTAAGAGAAGTAACATGCCTGTTCTTTGAAAATTACAGTTGCAGCATCAAGAAGAAACTCCCGAGCAAGTTCAGGACTCTTGGCATGTTTTTGAGGACGGGTGCACTCGACATCAAGATCACTTCCGTCCTTGTCCATGGAATCATCATCCTGGAGGGGAAAAAATAATGCAAAACTTCAAAACTCAAAAGGAGCAGTGTCTTGCACAAATATATGGTTAGTAAGAGTCATAAACATGGCCATTACCTCCTCTTCCTCGGCCTCTTCAGCATGCTCAAAAAACCTTTTGATATTTTCCCCTCTCGATATTGTAACATAACCATCACCCACCACAAGCCTGCAATGTATACATTGTTGCCCCTTCATAGAGTGAGCTTTCACTGATATCTCAGAGCAACGGCCATCTGTTTTCCATGCCCTAAGAGTTATGTAGCATGCACTCAGCCCACTAAGGTCTAGACCATTCACTTCAACTCTTCCACTCAAACCAACATTTTCAAACTCCAAGATGTCTGATTTTCCNAGATGAAGGCACATTACACACTCATATCTCGGGTGCAGGAGGTTTGAATCAAATGGTAAATGTGCCTCTGTTGTGGGGGGGTTAAAAGATTGTTTAAGTGCACCTCATATTGAAATGCTGTGTCTGCTACACAAAACCAGCTGTTGCAACGAGGTTCTCTCTTTATCCGCTTAAGTTCCTTTAGCTCCTTAAATTCACGTATAACATTCTTTCGGCAATCTCTACAGAACCTCTTGCTATCAAATCTGAATCAAGACACACAATGCAAGGAAAACTCAGAAGTTAGCATTGTTTTATACAACATGGAATTAATATGGGTTCATTAAGAGTCTACTAAAATAATACTATGTCATTCAGACAATAGGTTCACTTCCGCTAATTAGAACAAATAGCCTAAGAGTCTGACTCCAGCGGGAAAAATTAAGTTTGGTTTATGTGCAAAATAGGTACTATAAAAAACATGAAATGACTACACAAAAGCGCATGATTCCTCATTTCAAGGTGTTGATGCAATCCGCACATATCCTATATCCTAGAATTCATTTTCACAAACCTACCCCACCCATCCATCTTTAGAGGTGTGAGGATATATTAGAGAGGGTTTTCTACCAAACGAGGAAATAATCAATTAAAAATGTTAGTGAAACAGATAAAACACACCTGTACATAAGCCTTTCGATAAAGTCCTCCTCCTTCATTCTTAGAAGAGAATGCCGAGTCTCTTCTCCAAGTGCAGACCAGAAATCTACCAAGGTATCAATAGAAAGTCTGGCAGTGTGAAGAGCACATGTTTCTCTTGTTCCATGAGCCCTTCCATAACCTGCCATTCCTTGACTTATCCAACCTCTACCACTTCCACCACATGCATCAGGATAAAGCAACTCCCGTTCACGTTCCCTTGCACGTGCACTGTCAAAAACCTGCTTCGGGGAAAATCATGAGATGAACATACAAGCACTAAAAGAAAGAAAAGAAAGAAAAAATAGTGGCACTTACATTTTGGAGTCCTTTCAAAGATTTTGTTAATGTATACGAGTCTAGTAAGGTGAGAACTCCATCCCTAGTTGTGGTTAGACCTCCCCAAGGGTGGACAGATGGATCGTGTGCATCATCTTCACCTTGACTTTTCAAGGTTCCTATACCAGCCCAAGCATGATGGACGCATGTTCCCTCCTGTTGCAATGACTTGCCGTACGTAACAATTTGCCAAAAACCTTCCAGCAATAGCCCATTGCATCTAGAGCAATACATATTCTTACGAGCATGCTCAAAAAGGGTTTGCTTATCAATTCTCAAAAGCTCCTGCCGAGCTTGGGGTGGAAGTTCACTCCAAAACTACAAGAAAAAAGAATCACCATAACTAACCAAATAAGTACTTCGTATCAAACTCAATTACACATCACAACACAAACTTAATTATTGCTAACCACTTTGCTTACTCTACTACACCTATCAGCCAACATTGTATTGAGATACCATATTTATCAATCACCATCGTCCCACACTCCCACTTATCAGCCATTACCAGTTCAAGTCTGATAAGGTATGAGTTCGTGATTTCCTACAGTCCTAGTACTCCCAAGAGAAAAGAGATCACTTAGAAGTTTCTGAAAAACGAACAATCAAGCAGACATACATCCTAAATTCAGAATTCGATCTCGGGAGTCAGATACACAGACCGTCCACTTTCTATTCACACTGCCGATAAAAAATCACCTAGAAAACTAATCCGCGAGTGCCTAACACATTCGAGATCCAATAACAACATCACTCCATTAACAAATCCAATTTACTCGTTAAAATCAACTACCTTCTGGAGCTGATTGTAGCTGACGTCGTCGCGATGCTTGGACCAGAATCCACTCCCGGATCCGTTGAACGAAACCGCACCACCGTCGAGGAATCTCTGATCATTCTTCTGAGCTAATCCTGGCATTTCTTCGCTCTCAATAAAATCGCGCCACCAATCCTCTCACCATCCCCTTCACTTTTCGATCAAATTCACCAATTGGAAAACAATATTCGAACAAATTACAGATCGAATCATCGAAGTCTTATACGATTAAATAACAGACACTCAATCTGATTCGCCTGTGACTGGGATTGGGAATCTAAAGCGCAAATTATGATTGAAGAAAAAAAGTCGAGAATTTAGAAGAAGAAGAAGAAGAAGAAGAGATGCATCGTGAGGCGGAGATGGATATATAGAGGGGTTGGCGTTGATGAGATTTGATGCAGTAATTATGTGCGCATACGCATTTGTAAATCGTCTCTGGTTTTACTTTAGAGAAAAGACCAAAGCATAATAGGCTTCATCATCCCCCTTGTGGCCTTGTCTCCGGCCTTGACAACTGTCCACAATTTTACCATTGCTTCTACAATAATAAGCCCATAGCCATTCTACCCATGGCTTGTAAAATTGGTTTTTGGGGAGAATTGTTTTTTTTGAGGAGTCCAACATGTCCACATTTTTATTGCATTATGTCCTCATGTCACCAAATATGAAAATCAAGTAATTGTATATTAGTATGTGTCATAGTGGTGTCATATCATGACACCAGAGTCCGACCAATTTAACTTGATTCTAAGTCCAATAACGTATTCAAGTGCTTATATAACTGCAGTGTCATAATATGATACCAAACACTAGTGCCCACACGTATGAATGTACTTAAATGCATATGATTCACGTAATTTTATTATGACTAAATTTATATAATCATCATCAATGATTGAAAACTTTTTGTAATTAGTATCCTATTTTTAGAAATACTAGTGTTTTGACCCGTGCCTTGCACGGGGTCGAACGAATTTTTTGTCAATTCTTATTTTTTCATGTAATATTTTTTGCGGATTAAAGAAAATAAATTTATTACATTATTTTTAATACTACATACATCAAGGTCAAAGTAGAATAAATAATATTTTAATTTTTAAGAATTGAAAGTATACGAAACAAAGACTTGTTAAAATTCAAATTTTATGAAACACTTCAGAGTATACAATATTTTTGGTATGGTTGAAAGGATTTCNACTAGTGTTTTGACCCGTGCCTTGCACGGGGTCGAACGAATTTTTTGTCAATTCTTATTTTTTCATGTAATATTTTTTGCGGATTAAAGAAAATAAATTTATTACATTATTTTTAATACTACATACATCAAGGTCAAAGTAGAATAAATAATATTTTAATTTTTAAGAATTGAAAGTATACGAAACAAAGACTTGTTAAAATTCAAATTTTATGAAACACTTCAGAGTATACAATATTTTTGGTATGGTTGAAAGGATTTCTATTGTCATCTAAAATAAACATTTTTAATCATATATTTGTCTTCACTTGTGAAGTAACAACATAAAATTCGCCATACATGAATACTGACTTAGTTAAGAGAATCTAACAAAAAATAATGTTTCACCTTAACTTTAGTTAATAGTCATAGCAAAACATTAAACTATTGGGAATTGTCTTTTTTGAAACTTGAGGGGGTAGTCTTGGATCATATGGTACCAAATTTATTCGAGGTATGTAAACCTTTTCCCCGTCTCAATTTCTCAAAACCACGATTGCACGGTTAACATTTTTTTACATCTCTTCAACAATTAATCTTGTACTATTACACAATCCAAATAACATAATTAGTACCTTTTTTTCAAAAGTATTTTTTGGTTTGGAATCCTCGAACATTTGAACATTTGATTTAATTCGAAAATTCAAATGTTATCCAATAAGCATCAACACCTACATTGGCATCTACTTGCCATTAAGAATCATAACTCAAGTACTCTTTTTTCATCACCGAAAATGAGGAATAGGACAAACTAATTTACCATTTCAACAACTTCGAGAGTGGGTGCTAATGGTGCCCTATCCTAAAAAAGAATATTTTTTCATATTCTCCAATAAGTTCAGATAAGTGAATTTCAATACTATACTCTTGAGAGGATAACTTATGTCAAGAATCAAGAATCCGGGCGGAATTTCAACGTCATCAATTCCATCAATCACCTGACCAAGCTTTCCATCTCCAATCAGAAAAAGCTTGTGTATCCCTATCTGCGTTAGAGGACATAGATGAATGCAATATCATATTCCTGGTGAATGTAAAAACTCTACAATACAATCACAATTTTGAGAAAATCACGGTAGCACTTATAATTTCTTCTCTCGAAACTCTAGTAAAATTGGAAGGATCTGGCAAAAATCACTTGTGCTGAGTACTAATATTTTCCCTCTGAATGGTTCATTTCTAGAGTTATTATTATACAACCTCATTATATCTCTCATTGTGTGATCCGATGCCTCAAAAGCAAATCTATTCATCACACATGCTTCATCTCATACGATTCCACTTGCTTGTTAGATTAATTCTGCTTCCAGACCCCCTTGTTTGATAGCACACATTGAGAACTCAGTTAAAGCCAGAGGGATTGAGAATCTCAAGTGTGTTGTCCTTCCCCACCAGGAAATATAATGCTGCAATACCACTGGATGCAACATTCAAAACAGCCTTACATACCATTCGTTCTTGAGAAGTAGACATTGGTTTCTATATAAATGCTTTTCCAAGTCTTCCGTAATCATATACAAAAAAGAAACATCCTCTTTCACATATTAGACTTCCATTATCGCATCAGATATCTTTATTTGATCTTCATTCATCGTAGAAAAATATCCTCTAAAATCAGATGACAATTTTTCCTTTTCATAGTTCAAGTTCTCGATCAAGAAATTATTTTGAAATCTATTAAGTAGATAAACTATAATTTGGAAATGACATACCACTGAACTCCTTTAAAAATGTATAATTTTGATATTATTTTCTAACTTTTCCTTTACTTTATAATAAGGTAAGGTATGATGTGTAGAATAAATGATTTTAGGGTGCACCTTTTTTCTAATTTGAAAAGTTTTATGGGATGCCTTTCTTTTTATTTAAAAAGTTTTATGGGATGGATGTAGTATAATTTTCTTAAAATAATTAAGGTTATTTATTTATATTAGGTTTTCCAAAAAACAATGTACTT